CGTCTGAATCCGTTCAAAGCCAAGTGCTTCGAATCTCTAGATTCGTGGATCCAAATCCTTTCGAATCCGAGTGCCTTGGATCTCTAGGCTTGCTCAATACCATTTCGAGTCCGAGCCCGAGTAAGTCTGTAAGTTCGTGGATCCGAACCCTTTCGAGACTTAGAGCGATTCAACCCGATTGATGGCGATAAATCCGGACCCACCGATCTTGGACTTGCTATAAATTCGGGCCCACCAACTTTGGACTATTGGGCCTAATTAATTTAGTGGACTCAAATTAGCTCCTCTTACAATCGGAAAAAGGAAAGATTAGCATAATTACTTGTGGAGTCAAAAAATTAAATTAGAATGAATATTTATTAATTATAATATCAAAAAATTTTACAAAAATATTTTACGTAAGTTTGTACGATTGATTTTGAGAAACATTAAAAAAATAATATTATTTGTAACTAGTGTATCATGGATAATACAAAAAAAATATAGATTTAAGTCTTAAAATAAATTATATAATGATAAATTTTTTTTAATACAAGATTTGATTAAAAATTAAATATAATGCTAATACCGCGTCATCATTGATATGTGATATCACTAACTAATAGTACATAAACACATAGAGAGTGAACCTCATATGTTAAATGTAATCAACAATTTAATAAATTTCATATCTTTATAGTGAGATTACTTATAGTTGCATGTCAATAATAATGACATCACCGTTACATTCACAATTTTTCATAGATAATATGGTTTATAACAGTCTCTTCATTTTCAATTAAAATAACTATTATTGTTCTCATAATTTTTAAAATATCATAAACATTTTACTCAAGTAATATTTTTATAATTTTTTTATTTAAAATATTTTTTTTATATTTGTAAAATTTATTAAAAAAAAAATCCCAAAATTCAGAGGACACGTGACCCCCTGACCCTTAGACACGTGACCCCTATGCCTCCACTCCCTCCGCCACTGCTCACATGCAAGAGTATTTTGTCAATTTTGTACGTCAGATTTTGTGATTTGGTGAGATTCTACGTGATCGAGAAGATCCCAATTGCACCATGCGTGTGATCATCATTGTATGGTTCAATTCAATGGTGGATCCAGGAGGATGTAGATGGGACAACCACACCACTAAAAATTTGTAGTGTCGGGATTGTTAAATTATTTATATATAAAATAATAAACAAATAAAAAATATAAAAATTAAACATTAATATTTTTAAAAAAATTCTCAATATATAAAAATTAAAATATTAAAAAAATTTATAATCTCTTCACTATTTTTCTAATACCATCTCTACCTCCTCACTATGAATCTCCCTTCCAAGAGTATTAGTAATACCAAGGTATTAGTAGTCCCAAAGCCATCTCTCAAAACAACCAAGGTACTAGTAATACCAAGGTATTAGTAGTCTCAATCCTCTTCCTATAACCCCAAACAAACGGGACCTAAGAGTTTGCACTTCGAAACATACTTTTGCACCCTCATAGGGATAATCTTAGATTCGTTATTGGTTCAATTGGCCAAACTGTCTATTCGGACGAAAAAAACTAATTGTGTGTTTTGATCCACAAATCATATTAGATAGTATCCTTAATTCTAAATGACAATGGAGTAATTTGTGCAGGACCCAAATGATAAAGGGATAAACTGAAATTTGTCCTAAAATGAATAAAAACAAAAACAAAAACACAATGAACTAACAACACCACTTGTGGATCGTACACCTTTCTTAAAACCATATAAGAACACTGTATCATATACTCATAAGGTTGTAAGTTAGGTTAACAACATGACTGTGTACCAATTTGTGTGGTAAGTGTGGTCACAACACGAGAGAATTAAAGTATCAAGTTCTTTGTGTTGATGAATATCTCATGATGTTGGGACTTAGAGGTGTGATAATTTGGCATGCACATGAGGAATTAGGGCTTTTTTTAATTGAGTTTATGAAAAAAAAAATTAATTCAAAATTAGAAAATAAGAAAATAAAAGCTATTCATTATTTTAAGCTTTTGTGCCACCAATTAATTTGAATTAAAATTTATTTTAAGCTATCAAATTACACGGCTCGATCTTAATTTATATAAGAATTAAAAAAAAATTAATTCAGTTAAAAAAATGAGAAAATAAAAGCTATTCATTATTTTTATATGATTTTTCTTTTTTAAAGCGAAAATAATATTTTTTTAAAATGGGTGTTTATTTTTATCAAATTATTTTTTGCAAATTCTAAAAACTCAACTAAATAGAACTTGGAATTCTCCATGTTAGCATTCATACAAGACAATTTGTAAGAGAGTACATTGACACTTCTATCTTGAAAAACTCTTTTGAATATAGACTCTAAAATAATAAACACGTAAGACTGACTGTTGAGTATATTCACAGCAACCATACTTTCAAACGAGAGTTGGATTGGGCGTTTAACGAAAGTATCAGAATTTTGGGTGGTGTACCCATGTGCACATTGGATGTCGATAATGTCCAAATAAGATGGCGCAAGACACCTCTAGCTTAGCGGCACGTAAGATTGTAAATAAGTCGAACCGAATTTTAGTATGTTTGAACTTGTTTATTAAGATTTTAACGAGTTTAAACTCGAACTCAATAAAAATTTAACGAACCGAACTCCAGCCGAGTTGGTTTAGGCTTGACTCGAGCTCGAGTCTGCTCACGAACCTTAACGAGCCAAGAAATTTATAAATTCATACTTTCCTATGAGACTAAAATTACAATTAAAATTTTGATTATACAATTATAAATTTAACAAATCGAGTTCAAATGAGCTCTTACTGAGCCGAGTTTGAGTATGTTCACAAACGGCTCTATTCATTTGTTACCCTAGTGACACCTTTTAAGTTTGGAATCTCAAAAAAATTAACTCATAAAATTACCTATTGTTAAATTAAGTCATAATGAATAATACTTTCAACTGAAAGATAAAACCATGCATATGGTACCTGAAAGAAAGTACTAGCATATTTTATTTTATTTTATTTTTTTTTCTATTTTTTATGATAGATGGAGGGTGATGTGCATTTTATTTCCATCTTTTTAAAGAGTCCAAAAAAATCCAAAATACTCAACAATCAGTCTAACATTGACACATTTTAAAATATTATCATGAACATGACCTTAATAGCAATCATGCATGCCCTGACTGTATGTTGTATTGACTACTGAGTCAAGGCTTCATTTTCCTTATATCTATTGAGATAGGCACCTCTCTCCCACCATATTTGAAAGTTGTCATGTACATGTTCTTATATTAGTTTTTTAGCATTATCTTCTGGTGAGGTAAGCATACATATTCCTACACTCCACTATACAAATGTATATGGGTTGATTTCACTTTCTATTTTTTAAAATTATTGTCATTTTTTTTAATTTTATTCTTAAATTATTAATCAACAGTGCTCCGGATCCCAGTGGGGTGAACCTCAGCATCCCACATCCACGTGGGGGGCAGTGAGAGGAAGACCAAAAAAAATAAAAATTCAGCCAATCAAAAATTAGTGGGGGTGGTGGGAGTCACCCCACTATGGGTCTAAGGCATTTTTCATTATTAATTTATCTATGTAGCTTTGAGATTTTTTTATTTCAGCTAATGTAATATAATTGGAGATAATTATCTAAATCAATAGCGGTTAAAACCTAATTTGATAAACAAAACAAAAAAAAAAATCATTTCAGAATTTAAGCAATTCAAACCATACAATTTAAACACTTTTTTTTAATAACCATTTTAAAATGAGGAATGGAAAAGAACATAGTTGTAGGGTGTAAATTGTCTAATATAATTTTGTTGTCTAAATTGTAAAATTACTTTTTCGCCCATTAGTGTTGTTTTCCCCCATTACTAATTTGAATGAACTCTCTAATTGGACCATATTAGAAACATTAGTAACTAAATAGATGAAATTAATAATTTAAGAATGAAACAAAAATAAATTAATGACAACAGTTCAAGAGGTAAAAGTAAAATTAACCCAATGTGTACATAGATATATTAATTTATCTATATAACTCGCGTTACAAGATCATACTACAAAAACAGTATTACCATATGCAAGATAAAATTATATATATTTGACTCTTTTTAAATCTTACAGTGACGGGAGTCTCATGTACTGGGACTGCATTTATCCATATCAATTTATGCATCAAGTTTGACTTCAATAACAACTAGCTACAATGATATTAATAAAGTTGGATGTAGTGAAGCATAGACGTGGATCAAAAAGTCATCAAATTTTTTAACCGAAGGGTTGAATTTTGGCACAGAGGGCAGTAAAGTTGGACTACAATTTTCTAGATTTCCAAACATGTGCTAAGATATTCCTTGATGGTAGGTACATGTTCCATAATTTTTTCCCCAAATTATACACACAAGCATGGTTTGTGGGTGGAACAATGGTCCATAGTTGTGTGGTCCATGGTATATCACTACAAAAATTTGGTTCCGACTCCCTCAGAACAGTAATGTTGTCCACATTTGCCACTAGGTCCACCAAAACATTAAAAAAAAATTACCAAATAAATCTGTAAAAATAATAATAATATGCATGCACAAGCAAACATATGGCGTGCCCATCAATCCCATTTGAGAACTTGACCCGTGATAAGCTACATTTCAAGAAGTATAAGTCACGAATTCAAATACCATAAAAACGCTCAATACTCTTGGACCACCCAATTTTTATGTCTAGTAATTACTCAATATGTGAAAGACAAGAAACAAAATATACTTATTATTGGTATTTTGGGCTTCTAATGCCGTTATTCATCGATAAATCCGTCAATTTTGTCTGATATTGACCAATATATGACTGTATTGCTGATTTCGTTACATATCCTCGTATTGTTATTTAGAACGGTGCCATCAATAGTCAGGGCAAGACCCAATTGTTACTTTTTTTGTTATAAGAGATGGAAGAATCAAATCAAATACAAGAGAAAATTTTGAAAAAAATGTGAGACGAATGCTGCATTTAAAGGATCGAGCCGTGTATATAAATTAAGCTTTTGTGCCACCAACAATGGTGAGGCAAAAGGAACGAAGCTAAAGTCCAAAACAGAAATCTCAAGATAACTATACATTTCCATCCATAGCAGCATAGAAAGAACTCATAGCATAAGAACAGAACATAATCAAAAGTAAATAAATGCAAAGAACAAGACTTAAATTTCTCTTACTTCACATTTGTTCTTCATTGATGTGTAACTGGTTCAATGTCCTTAAGAAGTCCGACTACCTGCTGCATGCTTGGTCGCTTTGAGGGAAGATCAGCAGTGCATAGGTATCCAATCTTCAATGCTTCCTCCATTTGTGTCTCTAGTCCCGTTCCACGAATTTTTGGATCAATCGCCCTGGATACCTCGTTCTTCCTTACTAGGTCTCTTACCCACGTGACCAAATTCACTTCTTTCTCATCTGGATATTCATCTTCAACTGGCTTTTTCCCAGTAATGAGCTCAAACAGAATCACCCCAAATCCATAAACATCAGATTTTGGCGTGGGGCTCTTTGGGGAGCCAGTTTCCGGCTGAAGAAACTCCGGTGGGACATACCCAGGCGACCCACGAGCAATTTCATCTTCTAGGCCGTTCCCAAAAATCTTGGCCAATCCAAAATCAGACAATCTAGGCTCCAAATTGGAATCGAGGTAAACACTACTAGCTTTGACGTCCCTGTGAATTATAGGAGGTGAGCAACCATGATGGAGAAATGCAAGTGCACGAGCAGTGCCAAGTGCAATTTTGTGCCTAAATCTCCATGTTGTTAACAACCCTTCCGACCCAACATTTTGAATCCCATTGTTGTCATCTTCTTCCCATGTGTCTGTGCTCCAATCTTCGGTTGTTTGAAGCCCAAGTGGCAAATCATGAAGCAAGTTTTGCAAATTTCCATTCTCCATGTAATCATAAATGGCGATCCTTTGGTCACCAGCTAAGCAATATCCAGTCAGTGGAACAAGATTAGGGTGCTTAATTCGACCAAGATGCTCGAGCTCTCTTGCAGCTTCTTGGTCAGTCATGGTTGATCCATGGACCAAAACTTTCACAGCCACGTGAATCCCACCAGGTAGAAATCCCCTATAAACTGGCCCAAATCTCCCTTCAGCCAGCAAAGTGCCACGGTCAAAATGTGAAGTTGCAGACAAGAGGTCTGCAAATGTGAAATTCAACAATGGTTTCTCAAAAATGACTACTGGGACCGATGTTGCAAGCTTAACATCAGCAACCCAAGTGGTTGAATCAGTCTGGAATGAAAAGGGCCCGGAAATATTTTGTTCTTCCTTGTAAGAGTTCTGTTTCACTGCCCACAGTCTGGTTTTTCTCCGACAACCAAAGGCTAGAAACAAAAGCCCCACAAGCAAACAAACCAGCGAGATGGCTAAAGCTAGAGCAAGCTTGAGCCCCTTATGTTGGGGTGGTTTCTTTCTGAAAAGATCTGGGTTTGCAGCGATGGGGCAGCTATTTAACAACCCAATGAAAGCGGTTTCGAGGGTTCCAGGTGAAAACCCCGAAGCCTTGATGGTAGGTACATGTTCCATAATTTTTTCCCCAAATTATACACACAAGCATGGTTTGTGGGTGGAACAATGGTCCATAGTTGTGTGGTCCATGGTATATCACTACAAAAATTTGGTTCCGACTCCCTCAGAACAGTAATGTTGTCCACATTTGCCACTAGGTCCACCAAAACATTAAAAAAAAATTACCAAATAAATCTGTAAAAATAATAAGAATACGGCCAATGAGGTTAGTTTCAGACAAGTTGAGATACTCTAAACTAGAGATCATACTAATTTCCGGGAATGCTTGTTTAGAAAATCGATTATACGCGAGATTGAGGTGTTTTAGATTCTGAGCATCATTCAGATTACTAAAAAACTCTCCACTAAGATGATTCTCAGACAAGTCTAGATAAACCAAACGAGACCAATTGAAGCTGGAATTGGAATGTACCTGAGAAATGTGACCCTGAAACTGGTTTTGGCTCAAATCAATCACCGCCAATGGCTCTTGAAACACACCAATTACAGAACCCTGAAACAGATTCCGTGAAATGTTGAGATATGTGGTGGATTTCAACCCCAAGAAATCCGAATCCCGCCCTCGAATACCATTCCCAGCAATGTTGAAGGATTTGAGCTTAGGAAATGCAGCACCAAAACCATGAGGAAGAGTACCACTCAGTTGATTTGATGAAAGATCAATTGAAACCAAATAATGGCAATTCAGAATCCCAAATGGGATTCTTGATTGGAACCGGTTTCGAGCAAGCATAAGAACTCGAAGCCTAAGAAGGGAGCTCATAGCTTCGGGGATGGTACCAGAGAAATTGTTGCTAGAAAGGTCCAAGGTTTGAAGTAGCCCAAAATTGCCTATGTTGCTTGGGAGATTGTCAGAAATTTGGTTAGATGAGAGATTGAGAGTCTTGAGTGAACCCAAACTCCAAAGATCTGAAGGCAAACCAGTGATTTTGTTATTGCTTAGATCCAATAATTCAAGGTTTCTGAGTTTGCCAATGGTGGTGTCTGGAATCAAACCAGAAAGACCCAAGCCAGAAGCAACCAAACCAATGACATTTTCTTGCTCACAGAACACACCTTGCCATGAACAAACAGGAGCAGAGAAGTTGTATCCTTGAGAAGAAGATAAGCCCATTTTTTGCAAGAAATCAGAGACAAAGTACCCATCTGTATTGGGTTCTTGACAAACTAAAGGCCTAAAGAACAGAGTTAGAACAAGAACAGAACCAAAAAACCCAAAACCCATTTGGGGACAACGCCTAAAACTCATAAACAGGAGAGAGAAACAGTACCAAAACCCTCTAATAGATTCAAAACCTCAAACTCTATACCTTCAAAACCACCATTTTTGTGTCGTAAATAGCTCTGGGGTCAGTTTGTGACTCCATTAAATCCATAGCCAACTCCACCAAGTGGGTTGTGGATTTGGGGGGTTTTAGCAAAAGATGATTACTGGGTTTAAAACTCAATCCACCATTTTCCCAGGAAAATTGTGCCAAGAAAACCCCACAAGACTCGCTGCAAAGTACCCAATAAGTAGGAAACTATTGTTCAGAAACAAATGGGGTCTGTGGGGGAACCAAAGAAGTCAGAAGGGTTTCAAGAGAAGAATGTGAGCTTACCTTGTCTTTACTTGCAGGCATATATGAAAGACAAGAAAGAAAACAAACCCCACTGTAGAACCCTTTGTCTGTGTTGAAGAACATGAGAAGATTTTAAATTGGTCTATTTACTTCTAAAATACAGTTTTTACCACAAATATTTGAATGAAAACAAGTGAGTGTTGCAGAGGAAGGAGGGAGAGAGAGGTAGAGAGTGTGTGGGTGGAGTGGTCAGAAGTTGGGGTTCATAAATAAATGACAAGGATTGAAGAAAATGGTTAATGGGTTGTTGAATTTATCAGCAAAGCTGTGGGTGGAATTGAATGATTCTGCATTGAGTGTGTTGATTCATCATCTTTTTCTTTCCCTGTTTGAAGATGTTCTGATTTCAGCATTCCTAATAAAAATGAAACTGCTTTCTCTTTTTTGTAAAATGTTTTCCAAAAAACATCTCCCTTTCAAAAAGTCAAAACATCTCCCTTTTTCTTTAGGAAAGACTTTTTGATTCTCTGAATTAAAGGGTTGGTTTTTGGCAAAATATTTTTTAGTAACTTTTTTTTTTAAGTGATTTTTTTAAATAAAAATAAATAATCTTTTGGCTTTTAGGTCCTAGATTAATTTTTTTTAAACAAATAAAAATAATTTTTTTATCTTTAACGAATTATTTTAGAATTTTTTTTTAAATATATTTTTTTATCTTTTGAGATTAGGATTTGGAAAGAAAAATCTTTTTTGGCACAAATTTTTAAAAAATATAAAAAAATTATGATTTTTTATTTAGATATTTTGTAAAATAAATTGTTAATTAATTTACATAACTGTTTAGACAATACGTCAGTATAAATATATATACTCATGTATTTTCTACCTTATTTTAAATTTTCATAATCTATTGGTTACTCAAAATTTTACTTTATAATATATTGTCCAAATTAATTATAGACCGTCACTTTGTGAGGGAGGTGGCAAAAAATGTGATGCCCCTGCCTTATTCCAAATTAAAAAGATGCATTCCATTTTAAATCTATAGGGCCATTTGGAAACATTCTAAAAAAAGTCAAATTTTAACTTTTAATTTATTTTAGAATATATCATCTTTCACGTAAGAAAGTCAAAAAAGTCAAAAAAATCAGTTTTTAAACCCTCATTTGGTTTTCTCATTAGAGCTAAAAAAGCACAAAAAAACAAAATAGGCTATATAAGCCAATAAGATGAAATAGTACTTTTTACTCATAATCATTACACTTTTTCTCTCACAAAAGTCAAAAAAGTCTCAAAACAAAAATCAAACAAGACTAAAAAAGTCTCAATACAAAAAATTTGGCTACATTAGCCAATGCCAAACGACCCGTTAGCATCTTCCCAAAACACATTGAAGAATTTCAAAGGTTACTCTCATAAATTCTCATTTCACCTTTCTCCATCAACCCATGGAGATGGTGGGGTTGCTCTGTGCAGCCATTTGGGTTCATTTTTTGGTCTATTTCGATGATTCGAAATATTTATTTTTTAAGATATATCAAGTAAAATATATCTATAAAAAATTAAGTTGATCGAATATCGTTAACTATTTCATCGTTGTATTTGTTTTTAAAGTGAATGGTTTAAATTATTGAAACGTGTTCCGAAATGAGTCCAAATAACTACAAAACAATGGTTGTTTACACAACAGTCACTCAATCTCCTCAAAGAATTATGATATTTGTTAAGGATAAATAATTATGTTATCACTCTAATAAGGCCATCTCCAACATTTAACCAAATCCATCACCAAATTTAAATTTGGTGAAAAAGTACACTTTTTTAGTCTCCAACGGTTTTATTAAAGTTGTATCAAATTGAGAACATCCCAAATCTTTCACTAAACTGAGGATGTCTTGCACCTTTCAACAATTTACTGTGCATAGCCGTTGAGTGCTGACCCATCAGACGTCCAGCCGAATGTCTCCTGGGATGACCACTTAAAGGCAAAATTTGTGAAAATTTTAGACCGGTCGACCCCCGATGACCACCTTTGCATCTTTTTTTTTAACTTACCTTCCTTGTTGGTTCAAAAAATCATGATTTGGGATAACCTCCAATGAGGCACTTCGATTTAAAGAGGCCTTTCACAAACAATAGAAACTAGATTCTCCAATACAGAAAAATAATTTGATCAATACATATATGCAAATCCAATAATCTACTCAGCAAATTCAAAAGAAAGCCTTGTATAATCAATTTGTTATAGTCCAATGAATAATGAATAGTCTTGGAGAACTGAAAATTGATGAAGTAGGTCTTCTGTATTTGTCTATTGGTGATGGTAAAGAGCCACCACAATCCGCCATTAGAGCTCGCTTTAATGGTTTCTCTATTCAAAAACAAACACATAGTTCATGCCATGAAAAACCAAAACCCATATATATATATATACAGAGAGAGAGAGAGACAGAGAGACAAAGATAGAGAGAGAGAGCACCTAAGATGATATAGGATTGTAGCTAAAAAAAAAAAAATAGCTTTAAGCTCCACAGTGAAACAAAGCTTTCTTGAATCTAGAAACCAAAAAACCCAGAGCAGAATCAATGAGCTCTATCTCTCACTATATACCTCTGTGACCTTCATAATCAAAACACAACCCAAAGAAAACAAAGGACTCACTTTTTCCACGACATTCTCGCACTTTCTCTCTCTCTATTTGCAGAGAAAGAATTCCTTGGTTTTCATTATTGGAAAATGGCTTTTGTATAGCCTTATTTTTTACTAACTTTGAGCATTAATTAAGGCGGGGCCCAAGCGTTATTTTTAACATTTCTAATTAGGTTCATGTTTATTGCTGCGTAGTAAATAAATTCATGTATTTGGTTCCTCAAAACCATTTCCGGATGAATGAGAATTCAATGTGCATTTTCGGGTTCGTGGAATTGAATTTAGGTGGGTTTACTATACATTGGTGAAATGTACTTGTCCCACATTAGAAAGGCTTGAGGAATTGTTTGGGTTTATATACCTTAGCCTTGGATACTTAGGATGGGCCCTAGGGGTACCCAAGTTTGTGAAATGGTGAGGTTATGGGTGTAGTGGGCTAGACCCATTAGACCCAAAATTAAAACCATCCGCGCACCGCCGTCCGGTCGGGCGGGCTAGGCTTGGGCACGGGTGCGTGGTGTGAAGTTGGGTTGGGTTTGTCCGGCCCAATACTTATCTTTTTGGGCCAAAATCATTTGCATTTTATTTTTTTAATTTTGAATTCCGATTTCAAAATTCAAATTAATTCTGTTCCAGATTTTTTCTACCTGAACAGGTTTATACCTGTTCATTCCAAAACCGGACAAATCTATATCTGTTCAAAACAGTCCAAACAGATCTGTATGAGTTCAAACAGTCCAAACATATTCAAATTTGTTCGTGTCTTTCCAATCTGTCCGAACAGGTTTTATACCTGTTCAGAAAAGCCACCAAACTGCCTATAAAAAGCCAGCCTTCCAGCAATTCAGAACACACATTTTTCCTCAGATTTTTGTCTCTCTTCTCCCCTTTCCATCTTCCTATTTTCTGCATTATTCAACATTTAATTTTAGAAAAAGAAAGAAAGAGTTTCATCATAGTTTTGGTTCGCAAGACTTGAATTTGTAGTACTGCAAATTGAAGTGTTAGTCATTGCATCCTAGGAAGTAGACGTCGGTAAAACTCGAAGCACCAGAGCAAGGGCAAAATCTACTTTAAGGAGATTGTGTCCAACACAAGCCTCGATATTATTTTCTGTAAGCATTTAATTCGGGAAATAATTTATATAATTATTTTCTGGATTATTTTATTTTATTGTTTATTTATTTTATACATATGATTTACACACTTATACCTTTGTGGGTTCTAACATTCATAACAAAGCCTCACTGACTCGTGATCAAGCAATGCACTTGCTAAGCTGGAATATAGTTGTCGGTCAACCGGCCAGACGTCTGATCTGTCGTCCCTCTAGTCGACCTGTGTTTTGATGACAGTCACAAATTCACCGTTGGAGTGGCTGATATCAGATAGAGACATTCGTGTTTTTTTTACTTAGATTTGATGAAATATTTAGTAAACCGTTGGAGATGTCCTAACTAAAGTTTTTAACATAAATTTTATTAATATAATATTAGGGCATGTAGAGAGCTACGCTGGTGAAAACATGTTAAGAACACAACATTTTTTTCAATTGTTTTATTAGTTGTTCCACACATGGTTTAAATTTAGCATAACTGATTTACTAATTGAGAGTAGCAAATGAAGTTTTGTTTCCTGTTTTCTTATAGTTTCTTTGCTCTTTTATTGGAATTTTCGTATGGAAAATTTATAGCTCCAACTCATTGGAAGTAAATTCTTCACAAGCTATTGATTTATTTATTTATTTTTCAATGAAACGTATATAGAGTTCCTATATTGGGAATAACTCCCTTATGATTCCATCATTTTTTTCATATCCTTTTAAGACTCTATATAGCTCCAACTCATTGGAAGTAAATTCTTCACAAGATATTGATTTTTTTTTTTATTTATTTTTTTTCAGTGAAACGTATATAGACGATAGTGATTCAAACTATTCATTTATTATGTCTTAAAAAAAAAGAATATACATGTAAAATATTAGTTTGATTAGATATCCATAAACACATTAACTAATCATGACATGGATAGGCCCACAAGGCTTACGGCCCACAGCAAACCACCCCAAACCCATCGCTTGGGACTCATAGCATAACCCGTTTGGCAAAGCCCAGGACAGCTGGAGGCCATCTGGACATGGAGGGCCAATGGCATTCAGGCACATGGCAGGTGGGACACAGGCCACATCAGCAGACAAAGATCTGCAGAGTTATTGCCACAACACATCACCGTTAATGCAGCTCATCACAACATTTTTACGACAACACCTCCCTGTCAGAACAGAGCCCCTCACCCTGAACAAGGTAAGCTATGGCACAGGCTTTCGGCAGAAGGGGGCACGTCACAAGGGACAGTGAAATGATTACCAAAGGATATAAGCAAGAATGGAAGACAAGAGGAAGGTTAAGCTTTTCTATCTCTCTCTCACTCTCTCTCTCTATATATATATTTTCCTTCCTTCTCTACTGATTCGCACGCCGGAGGGTTCACTGGGGGACTACCCCGTTCCCCTTGTGGACTTGCTTGCAGGTCATCTGGTGGAACCATCCGCCTGAGTCGGGACTTGAGGAGCTTGGACCAGCCCGGCCCATCCACCCAAGACGAACTGCATTATCAAATCATATTTTGTTTTATGAAATTGATAGTACATATAATTTTAAACTAAAATCATCTATTTTATAAGACAAAATACTATAATTAATTAAGTTAAATTTTTGAATATATATATATTATTTTTTCTCTAGGCTTACAAGATTAACGGTCACCATCGTGGGTCTCATAGGACCCTCACGAAATGGAAGCTTGAAGGGTATAAACAGAA